ACGAAATCTTCGCGTCGTTTCCTTCGCTTAATCTATTTTACTTCTCCCAATCTAGTATTGTAATTTAGTTACGCCAAGTGACGTGCATATTTCGTGTAGTTGTCAGCACAAATATCATCCTCTTGTAAATTGTTATGGTACAACCTTATTTTATCTCCTCGCGTTCTCATCCAAAATTAATGTTTTGCGAAAACTTACCGCAAGATTTTCATCTCCGGAGGTTGATGACATTACTGTCAAATATTAATGAACATGTGACATTTCACGGGCCGGAGTGAACACTTATTTCATGTGATGCCGGGCTGTCAGCTTGTTTCATGCTGAAGGAAATAATACGAATTTGTTTTTCAACTTTTTTTTAACTGTCATCACTTTTCGCGAAACGGGGTAGAAGAGAGGACTTTGTGAGACTTTTTAATTTCCGACTTAGGTTTTTCTTTTCAGCACGTTCTTGTCTTTACAACCCTCGGCCACGTCGTACATCGTTCTCGAATTCGTCGGGAATCGTCGAGAGTCTTAGGGAAATGACGATATGAGTTATGACATTCTCTCACGAGAAGCTTTAGTTTGTGTACTCCGTCAAAAAAATTGGCTTAACAACCAGAAATATACCTCAAAGGAGAGGAGAACAAAAACTAAAATTAAAATGGAATTTCAATTGAAGACTGTAAATTCAAAGCTACCAAAACTAGTTTAGTGCATGCACCCGATCCCAGAAGCTGGTAAAATTAACTAATAGTTTTTTCTTCTTCCAAAGAATTCGATAGGGAAATTAATAAACTCACAATTAAGTTCTGACAATAGTTTTTACGGCCGTCTTGCCGAATAACCTCGCTAGTGAGGGAAATTTATTGATACATAATAATCAATTCTGGCTAGAGCGACTTAACGAATAATTGTGAACGTCTGAATAAACTGTCTGAAATGGTTTAACTTTTGTCTGACCGTCAGACCAAAAGACGAAAGCATTAATGATCCGTTCATAATCAGGAGAGACTGAGTTTTGAAAAGAAATAAGTCTGCTTTTCTCTGTGAAAATTAGGGCCTTCGGCACACGAAGTAAAAAGGTACCGGATTGGAATTTATAAAATGATAGCGTAGAATTCATAAACTCCTCAAAAATATGTTAACGAAGTGATAAGGAAGAATTTTTCTTTGTATGAAACATCAACATACTTTGTTTTTACTTTTTCAATGAAATTACTTCGCCTTCTTTAATTATTCTTTGCTTTAGAAGATAAGGAGGATTTGAAGGATTTCATGCAGCAATTTCCTTTTTCAAAATTTTGTTTTTCCGATTCTTTATACTTCGAAAATTTGACGATAGCTTTTAGTTTTTGATGGTAAAATTGATAAAACCGCGAGAGGGTTTTAACATCAATTAATGATACTTTTGTCATGTATTTCAATTTCTATTACAATTAACTGTTTAGGATGGTTTAATTTTTGGCTCTTCACAATCAAAAAATGGAAGCATTTCTGCACGGAATCCATGAAGTTTGTGGCAATCTGCTGCTGTTCTTATGCGTCGCACGAAAGGATTTTCTGTTCACCTTAAGCTATCTGGTGTTTTAATATTTGTCGTTCTCGCAAAAAAATATGATTTTCCATTACGTCAAAAGTGGAGACTTGAAGAAAACTCTTAATACTCTAATAAAATTAAAGTCTTTCTTAGTTATCTGATTCCTTATCTTCGTCTGCCCATCGACCTTTTCGTTTTTTGTTTGTTTGTGTTTTCCTTCGTCAAATCTTTCTTATTACGCTAATACTTTAGGCGGTGATCTAAGAGAAAACAGTATAGCTGTGAACAAACTTTTCATTCTTCAAAGAAGATTTATTTACAACAAAATGACTGATGAACGAATTATGAACTCACAATGTAACAATGTCGGTGTTTTATGTGGAGGTGTTCGAAAGAGAAACGCATCTCAGGGGAAACAAACTGAAAGAAAAGCTCAATTAGTGAAAGCAATTTTTTACCAACTCATTTTGAGCTAATTAAAAATGTAACCGCTGAATGTAAGAGGTATAAGTGTGGGTTTATGTTCCGCCGCGAATCACGTACTCAGTCAACGGTGAAACTCAATGCATACTCATGATAAATTAAATCTGTTCTAACGGCGGCCGAACACAGGACTCTTAGAATCGGTAAGCTTTGCACTGGGTTGTTATAAATTCGTCCATTCACATGAACCTTCTCAGCATAAGCGAAGACAGTTGTGCAATGCAGTTGCGTCATTAGCTTGGTAGCGAACCATTTTAGACAGCTAGAATATTCGGGATCAAAGTGCTGTTTTCATAAGTAATCCCTGAGTTTTTAGGTTTTCTTTGTTAGTACTAGCTGCCAAAAACAATAGAAAAGAAAGAGCGTGAGTTGTTTCATTCAGTCTTGTTCGGCCTTCTGAGACAAAACAGGCTTGATTTAATAAAGCATGCCGATTCCTGGCCGATCACTACAAAGAGGTGCTAAATTAATTTCTCTGACTTAATTAAATAGCTTTTAGTGCTTTTCAACTAAGTAAGCATTGAAAGTCAGAGCACGTACGAGTTTTTCCGACAAACATACTGCTTATAAACTGTGCAGTCTTCGTTCCTGGGTAAGGAGTTTTCTTCTCTTTTCAGATTCTATCCAGTTTCAAGAAGTGTCATCTGGACTGTCACTGATATTTTTGGTCAATGTGGACTTCCGGAATGGAACGACTTGACGTTCCAAGGAACATTTTGGAATCACAGAGAAGTGTTAGCCCAAGCACAGCTTCGGAGTCAGGCGAAGAACAAGGCTCAGAAATTCAGACAGCAAGTGAACCATTTGAATCAGTTCAGCGAATGTCTCGCACGCTTTCACCGGCGTCGATTTCTGTCTCCTCTGAAGAAAATAAGGTCACAACAACAAGAAGCCAACGAAAGATAAAACATCATTGCCTTGCGCGAACCGATAATCAGTCATTTACTGCTTCATTCCCGCTAAGCGGGGAATCAACTCTTCAAGGAACACCATGGGAAGAAGCTCTCTATGGGAAGCGTCCTGGAAAAAAAATTCAAAGAACTGACAAAGAGACGGAGATTGTCGCTTTTTGGCGTCAGTTTTTTGGATAGAATTATCATGACCTTGCCTGCTTAGAAGTTAACAAACTGTGTCAGGTCTGTGCAAGGTTTGGTAAACTGTAAAAGATTTTCATATCTGACCGCTCTGTCTTGTGGTCTTTTACCTAAAAGAAGACGAATTCAGAGCACTTTTTAAAACATCATTTAGTTTTTAAGACGGAAGTACAGATGTAGAAAAATTTTAAACATTCGAATCGATGTCAGGATGTAGATTTATTTCTAACTGCCTGTCGGTGTTTTAACAGCCTATCCAATATCATGACGAGAATCTCACCATAACCACTTCCTATAGTTAATAGGTTTGTCTTGATGCTGTTTGCCACAACTCGTATAAGAATTATGTGATGGAAATACAAAATTTTCAACGATTTCATTCGATCCCGCAGAGATAGATTTATTACCAAAGATGTAATTGCTTATCATTTATATCTGGAACATTGTTAACCAAATGATGGAACATTCGTTTATCCTAATGGAATAATCATTTCTACGCAAAGTTTTTGTAAGGAATATCAACAAACACGTGAGCGGGTGAATGTCAAGGTCATCCAATGATGACTGTTTATCTTTTTCACCAAGTAAATAAAGCTTTTGAATTTTTATGAAATCATCTTAATGTTGAGTTATTCATATTTGTTATCTAAATGGTCCGTTTTCGTCAGGAATGTGTAACCCTATAAAGAACATAAGTAACAGAGGCCTTTATAAGCTCACATTAATATAGTCATAAAAGTTTTTTTTTCGGAGAGAAGTCCGGTTTTGGTTAAACGGAGTCCCATTTTTTATCAAAATTCTTAGATCCTGGAAAATGTTTGCAATTTTTGCGCGAGGTTAATCACTAATTCTGTCAGAATAATCATCTTTGGTTCAATCGACCTTTTCTGTCAACGCCTGTCGGATTAAGTTTCTTTTCAAAGTGATCACTTTATCGCGGAAATATCTCAAAAGATATTATTATCTTCATTTTTGCGTCCTGTTTGAATTGCCATTTTTCACGTGTCTGCTCTTTGCCCGTCTACACCGACTGAGAGCCTAGAGCAGACTATGGAATAAATCATGTGTAGGGAAGACTCCGGAGTATAGGAGTTTGAAGGTTGCAAACTATACATACACAAAGACATGGGATGTGAGTTTCAGGACCGCGAGAAAAGGGATTTGTGCTCAGTCTACCAGTGCTGGAAAGCCAGCAAGATGTAAGACTTAATAAAATTCAGAAGGGGGAAATTTTGGCGATGTAGAAAAATCATGTACATCTTTAAGATCAATGCCAGGTTTCCTATGAGTGAAAAAAAAAGTTGAAAAAAATTTATGTAGTTGGCCTGCAAAGCATGCGTATTATTAGGGCGAGTTCACAGACGTTACAAGCTCGCGATCGTTTATCGTTTACAGACGGCTGGAAAAGTGTTCTAATGGCAAAAATTCAATTGCCTCCACCTAAACTGGTTGCCGTTGAAACCGTTGGTCCTAACAGCTCAAGACCCAACGGAGCAGTGAAAACAGAGTTTGATCAAGTGTTTAGACACCAATATTCTGATAACTGAGAAATTAAAGCAAAGTTTTAATCATAACTTCATGTTTATAAGCAAGAAAAACTTGAGAAAAAAATGAATAATTGCTATAAAGAGCCAGTAGAAAATTTTCCTTCTCGCATTAAAACCAGTCAGAATGGCTGATCCATCCTGTCAAATTAAACTCAATGATACTCGCTCGTTACGAATCAGAACTAGTCTTTGAACATCTGCATTACAAGCTATATTAATGCTAGGTTACTATGACCTTTGAAGTGGAACATTTACACGCAATATTTCACTATTTTCGAGAATTCAGTTGATGTCTTCGTACATCCAATTGACTATATCACCCCAAGGAAAACATCACACCATATTAAACTACATCAAAGTCTGGGTGGGGAAGGTAGGAAGCTTTCCCAATTGAAGAGAAATCCAGGTCGGTCAGTGATATGTAATGAAAACTTTAAACGACAAACTCCGTTAATATTTTTTAGCGCCTGAAGGTCTCTCGCCCTGCTGGGCCCTCTATAGAACAGTATGACGTACTAAAATGATTTTCCCCAGGGGTTTGAAAGCGGAAACAGTTTGACTGCCATCGCTGACTTCAACTTGCAGCGTAGTGTAAACAGTTTAAATGGAAGCTACTTTTCGTCAGCGGGAAAAGCGCTTAAGACCATATCTTGAAATTTTTTTTCAAATACAAGGCGGGAGTAAGGGGTGAGTGTTTCAACCTCTCATAGTATGTAAAGTAACTGAAACCCCGAGTTATCACTGATATGCTCCCAATTGTGACTTCTCCTTTGATCTAATCGGTCTTTGAGATTGCTTCGTTATTTTTTGTTACTTAATTCAGTAGGAATTATTAAGCGCGTTTTTCCTTGATGAGTAAGATTTGCCAGGCTTTTGAACTTTTTCAAGCTTTCTGGTCAAGTCTTCGATCTGCTTCACTTGTTTGGCGTTTTGTGCTTCCAATCGTTTAACAGCTGCCGATAAATCGCGGATCTCTCCGACGAACTCAGCAGAGGACTGTGTCAGCCTCTCGTTCACAAACTGAACCTTGATATATTTCTGCCGCAGATCTTTCAGATTGCCAAGCTCTTGTTTTGTTTCCACGAGCGAGTACCATGTCAGCCACAAGTGATTATCCACGCTGGTCTCCATGTGTCTGCTCAGGTGAACTCTCTTATCCTGTCAATGAATAAGCAAGTGATATCCACAACTGCCATGGTGATAGCGATATCACTTGAGGGGTGAGGTCATACGGCTGAAGACTACAGGGGGGTACGTTTCTAAAGAAACTGCGGTGCTGCGTCGGTGGAAGAGGATAACAGGGTAATTTAGTATTATCAACTGAGTTGATAACGTAAATTGGCCTCCGTAAAGAGTTTGAAAGCCGACGTTTCGAGCGTTAGCCCTTCGTCAGAGCGAATGACGGTACTTTATCAACTCATTTGATAATACTAAATTACCCTGGATCGTAGAATACTCCAATTTCGTGATTTTAGAAATTATCATAAAACATGAGACATCGTTCCGCAGCCATGGGAACGAGCCCGTCAAACACAATAGTTTATTCCCCCTAGTCTCGTTTTGAGGGATTCTTTTAAAGGCTGAATTGTACATCGATGGAATTTTACAGAAGGAAGAAAGGAAAGCCGAAGAGAGACAAGGATGCCCAGAATTAAAATAAACTTGAAAACGGATTGCTTTATCTCTTGAACTCCCGTGAGTGACCAGGATAGGATTTCTCCTTACTATATGTATACAGTATCATGCGGACAAGCGATGAGAATAAAGAAAAATATCAATTATGGGATTGCTAATTGATCCGATACCAAATTCTCCAAACTAACATTATAAGAATCATTTGGCAGACAGTAAGGAGAATTACTAATGAGATCGTGGCAATTAAAGGGTTAGAAGAGTTTATCCCAAGTTGTTTGACACTGTCGTTGTCTTACTTGGAAATCACCTTTATGTAATAGGGCAGCGATGGGGCCAAAAAAATACCTTTAAATCCCATCTTTAGGAAAGATTATTAAATTAGCCGAAATATGATCAAGTGTAACACGAATTTCTAGTGTTCTCTGGGCGTGGCTAAAGAGATGTGTATCATTCTCGGTGTAAGAACCTTTTACGTTTTGGAGTGAAGCAAAACAAAGAAAACAAAACAAAAGGAGCTTAGGAATTGATAATGACAAAAAAAAAAAAAGAAAATCTTGACAGGTTCTTGCATCGAGGTAAACCGTGAAATATTCTTATCTTTAGTGGCTTGTTGAAAAGTAACAAGTAAGTTTGTTAAAAGGAACTTAACTGCCATAGCGACTTTTATAGCTGAAGCTTTGAGGAGATGTGATAGATATGCCAACACGTCTCTATTTCATTGTTAAAACCCGAAAGATAAATCAGGCAAGGTAAAACTGTTACCCGCAAAGGTTGGTTTGCTCTGAATTGCTTTGTTAGTGAAAAGGAGGACGAAATGTCAGTTAAGTAAAATTCGCAAGCAGTCGCTTTCCATCGGAACATTACAGTTTATAGTACCAATGACTACACTTCGTACATATCATGTACCTTATAAGGACACCCGGCCTTGGCATAGGGGCAGGTCACTTCAGTCAACGGGCATTGTTCGGAAATGTGCCTTTCCAGCTGAGGAAGTAAGGAGAAAAAAGCTGAAATATGGTTGATGTTAAGATATTTGAAGCATTGTTTGGTTTTTGTTCGGAGAGATAGCTTTGTATCAAGCAGAATTTGGTAAAGCTGGAGTCCACCAGCAAATCTTTTTCGGGGGATGTGAGAGAGACGTACAGCACAACACGGAGCACTACAGTGCCAGTGTTGTTTCTCAGTGATTCATAGATTTACATTTTTGGGCGTGGGAAATAACCAACCACAGCAAAACTTTGATCTCAGTAGACTTATGTTATCAGAATAGAATGGCTATGAACTACACCATAAACGCCTTTTTAGTTTTCCTTTTACAAAGATACGATGTGTTGAGAGGTAAAAAGTTTTCTCACTGTACCTCTTCTCGTGGTATTTGCAAGGCTCCACAATTATTGGTGCAGCTGAGAGGGTAACGGCTACAATAAAAGTCCTCGTGTACCTGGATTGAGAGAATAAAAGTAACACAGCTCAAAACTGTCCGCCAAAAAAAGCAATCATAGAAAAAAAAGGTATTTGAAATCACGAATACGAGTTAGTGAGAGGAAGTGTATTTTCGAAAGGTGACTGTTAAGAAAACTTATGAGTCACTTATTTCTTTGTTATTTGCTTACGTTGGGTTTTTTTCCAACCTGTCCGTTCTCAACGTTCTATCGTGTGACGGTATAAAATGCGATTTATTACAAAGAAAGACAAAGAATTTTCATTCAGTCTCTAAGTTGTCTGTGAAAAGTGTATGTGATCCATTGTGGATTGTTCTAAAAAATGAGCCTTCACTATGATACTTACAGTTTTTTCCATGAAACGGTACTTTTTTTGACAGTGCACACATTCCACCAATCTTTTTGGGCACTCCTCCTTGTAATGAGTATTAAGGTGTCTTCTCTGTATGTTTGCTTCACAATCGCGGCACTGCTCTTCTACATAGGGGCAGGTCTTTTGGTGGTCCTAAGAAAAGTCAAAAATGCAAAACAGGACAGTGTGCCCAACTGCGTGTCACAAAGTTCGGGATTGGATTGGCTTTGCTACAATATGCTCAGTGATTGGTCCACGAAACTGAAGCATCCTGCTCTACCAATCAGATATAAGACTGTAGTTGATCGCGGTTTGGTCTTTCGCGTTTCCCCCTCTTTGGGCGGTTAGTTTGTTCTCACTTTTAGATTTGATTAGTTCCATGTGATTTATGTTGTGATTGGTAGTGATGATTATTACACGTTGGTTTTACGACACTCAGTCAAAAAGAGCACCCCAAGTCTTTGTGAGGTTTCCCGGGTGAGGATTCATCCTCTACTGGAAATGTTTTGTCCAGAGAAAAAAAACTAACAAGAGGTATAAACAAAACAAGAAAGTACAGTACTATATGCCAGTTAAAAAAAAAGTCCGCTCACCTCCGCGTGTCGCAGTTGACCAATCCAGCCACATCCTGTGGCGC